TATATATATATAGATAGATAGTATGTATATAGTGTATATCTTGTGACATTTATATTCACTTAAAAATACTGTTAATTAGTATCAATGAAAGTAAGTTAATAAAAAATATAATACATTTCTCAGTTATTTTGTTTTTGTTTACTTAGATTATTTCGATAAAAAAAATATATTAGATTCTACAATTCTCATATTGTGATACTATCGTGCATTATTTAGCTAATGACAGTTACTTTTCACATGTATATACTTGATTATTTCTATAGCAAATTTATACCTTTTTCCAAGAGATTCATTTTGTCCAGAGCCATCAAAAGACCGATGTGTTCATAATAATGTCCAAGTATCAAGTAAACTAGAACATAATTTACAATCACGCGATAATTAGAATTCTTTTTTTCGGTTTTTAGTTTCTGTCGTGTTCGCTTTTTCAAATCGTGATTGCTAAACCGGTTACGTTAAACGTTTATTTTTAGAATTCAGTTTTTTAATTTAATATGTCTAAAGACAGATGTACTAATGAAATGAATAGCATGCAGTATCTTTTCACAAGTCTGAGACACTTGTCCTTGTAGTATGCGGCAGGGACCCGGATCAAACCGAAATTCGAAATTGAAAATGTTTCGTAATTTTTTTTTTTTAGTGGATCGAAACTGAAACTATACCCAAATATTATATAGTTTATAAGTTAATACTGAAACCATAACTGAACTGATAAAATTTTATGGTTTTTTTCGATATTTTTTCGGTTTTTTTTTCAATTCTAAATATTTTTCTAGATATTTTTAATTTTTATCCTTTTTCTTAATCTTTGTTCTGCCCGTTTCTTCGTTCAAATCATCATGTTCAATCTAGTATATCGTCAATTCTCTTAATAACCAGAATGTAAATATCTCCAACAACTCATATCACGATATAAGAAATGTGGCGGGATCGCGAGACATATTTAATGTAAACTTTTTTTTAAGATACTATCATTTCTTTTATTTAGATCTTCTTCACCAATATGTTGCGAGAATTTATTCTAAATCATGAATTTCAATAATACATATATGGACTTATGTAATAGTGAGATTTATTATAAGATTCAAATAAGTTGTAAGAAAGGACTGAGAGAAATATGCCTAAAATAATGTTAATTTTTATTCAGAGTCACATGATCCATTGACACCTTTTTTTCGACTAAGTTCTCTAGATTGAACGGATGAACGCTCTCTCTCTCTCTCTCTCTCTCTCTCTCTCTCTCTCTCTCTCTCTCTCTCTCTCTCGCTGCC